GAGCTGACACAGATTGACCGATACTGGGACAACCAATAATAGTTAGTATATATAGGGGCATTAAGCAAGTTTTTTTCCTACTCTAATAGATTGAGTAGAGGATACATATAAAAACCCGTAATTGCCGTATAAAATATTTTTCAAATGAAAGGACTCGCTCGCCATAGTCGACTCAAATAGTTAACAGTGCACTGGCACACTCTGAAAAGTCCAGTTTGCTACTGTGGGTACCTCAAATGAGAACTAGCTACTCTCAACCCCCCCCCCAATTCCCTAAATGGTTATAACATCGCAGTGTGCGGACAAACAAGCCGCTGACCGATTTTAGGGCTACCATGCGCAAATAGTAAGCCGCATGACCTCTTCGCACAGACCATAAAACCTGCTGACCCAATAATAGGGCACTACAGCATGATAAAGTCGTGCAGAAGCGCATATTTGCTCTTCTCCCCACAATAGATATTGCAACGTAAGCAATACGGTATTTTTCGCACAAACCCCAATGAAAACCTTTTTTACATCACCTAGGACAGACACCTTGCACTATCTGTATGAATCATATTAAAGCTTATAAAGCTGAAGCATCATGACCTTCCAACCTTAGGAAAAATACAAGGTCAAATTAGTACATGGCGCATACCAAAAGGATTCACATTGCGCTCCAAGATCCATTGATCTGATTCCGATATCCTGATAAACGAGATAAACGGTAGAAATACTTACTAACTTTTATTTGAAACAAATCAAATATACATACAACAGTTAATTTTTTTACGAAAAAAAATTTAACAATAAACTGTTCTATCCTACTGTATCGAAGAACATTATTCAGTAGGATTCCTGGCGTTGCGGATGGGTATCTCGATCCATTCCAGCATCCATCCTATTTCTCGCACCAGATTTTGACACCTCTGGAACACCGACACCATTAAGAAATAGCTCAATCAAAATCACAAAATAAGAGAATATAAAAAAAACTGACCTCATCAATTCTTCGAATTGTGGCACAATTGTCATCATATTTTCTGTGCAACTCCTTCGAGTAGATATTGTTCGCTTCCCTTTCAGTATGGATAAGCCACTTAAGTTCAGCGACCCATTGGTCCGCTATTTTCTTCTCTATTAAGGCGTTTTGCAGCCTCTGGGCAGAGTCGCCACAACAGTCTCCTCGCGCAGGCTGAAAGACTCCATTTTCATCAACAAATAAAAGAAGAAATGTTCAAAAGAAACGTACAGCTAGTCGCTGTGTCAGGCCCTCCCAAAAACCATCTCCGGATCCATTTGTGTTCATTGTGACTTCTAGTTAAAAAAAAGGCTATTTAAAATCCATCACACACAATAGGTAATTGTAGGAAAATAAAAAGGCGTAAGCAAACGCTTATTTGGCAAGTAAGACACCAATACAAAAAAAAACTTTTATTCCTAGCACGAAACCATAAACATTATTCTTCTGGTCTCCTTGTAAAAGCGGGGATCCCTATGCAAATCCCTAATTTCAGTCGCGAATGCTCCTCTCGAACATTCGCCTCCCTCTGAAATACAACAATCAATCTATGTCATAAATACAAAAACAAAAGATAGTTACCTCTGCCTTGCGTTTCATACTATTGTAAGAGTTCTCCAACAAGTTCTCCGCTCGAACACGGTCGGTATTGTAAGACCGACGCATATTTTCCAACTCTTGAATCAATTCCTCAGCCTCGTCCTTCCGGTACATTATGTGTACTTCTGTTGCGCGAAGAATCCGAAACTCTTCACGGACAAGGGCACACAAGACTGGAAAATAAGAGGTAGTGTGAAACACAACTCATGAAGCCATAAAAAAGAGGAGCGTAGAAGCAAACATACCCCTTCGTCCGATTCCGGACTTGAGCTGCGTTCCACTGGCGAAGCCGCGCGTTCAGGCACGGAATTCTCTTCGACTGGAGAACGAAACCTCACACGGCGAACCTCGTTTGCGTTTTGGTTTTGCATAGTGTTTTCCTGAAAACAAAATCTCTTTCGAAGTTTAAATCTTCCCGCAACTCATTTGGACCAGAAACAGAGCTTTCAATATGAAGTGAATGGTAGGATGAAAAAAAAAGGGAGACATATATGACACATATAAAGAAATTGGCATATGACCACCTTATGCTCGGTAAGAACCTAGAAATGGCTTATCGAACGATGGACGACGATCCTCCAAAACAACCTCCCAGGAGGGCCATTGATAGCACTTTTTCTACCCTAGGTCATTGATACCCTTGTTAGACGGTTAACATCAGCAAACAACCATACCCTTTACAAACGAACATAAGAAGAAACATACAACTGCGCATGGGAAGTAGTACCTTATTCTTAGGAAAGTTATCGAGCACATGGAAATAAAATTTTTTGGACAATGGAATCCATCGAGTTAAAAATGTCCTGGAGGGTTGACAAGGCATGGCGCATTCTTTAGCAGTGAGAAAAACCAATCATGTCGCCATTTCATTCAAAAAAGATTTTTCTCAGCAGACATTATACCTTCCAAACGGCTTGGCAAACTTAAAACGAATTCAGGCGCATGGCGCACACTTTGGGGATACCCATAGCATTTTCTGTAACTACTGAACGAAATAGGTAAATCGGTATTGATAGCCGATTAAGAAAACAAAGCATCTAGAATTGTGGACCTTTCAATCAACTACTTACTTTCAACCATAATATACTACACGGCTGACCCCAATCCAACCTACCCTTCTCTCCAATTATCATCTTTTGCCTCTCACGAGCAAGCAGGTGAGCTAAATTAAGTTATTTCTCATTGCTTATCACAATTTAAATGCAAAAAGGCCTTATATCAGAAAATCACACTCCAAATCAATGATTATCTTAAAAAACATTTCAAGTCTTCAAATTTTGATATAATTCAGCAAGGATTAGTAAGACAAAATCGCATTCAATTGGTGAAACACTAGGGATATCGAAATGGCCTCAGCCAAATCATAAAATTCATTTTTCAGCCATTGTCCTATGAATTTGGGATTTTCATCCCCAAGCGACGGCGAAACCATTCCAGGCCATCCGAAACCTAGCAAAATACGATTTTCTCTTGGAAAATCGTTCCCTTCTTCCCAATTTTTTTTGCATTCCCCAAAATTAAGGAATTTCGCTGCCCCACTCGTCAGGTAGTGCTGATTGGCCTCTGCCAGCCGCAAATCAGATCCCATGCCCAAATTATGCGAAATTTCCCTGTTTCATCGCGATTTCTCCCCTTACGAGGAGAAATGCGCACAAATGATGAACGGGAAAGTTCTTTCTTGACCTTCTAACCCCTTCCTTTTACGACGGGTGAGAATGAGGTCTTGGCATCGTAAATGTACAGTATGCCATATAGATTCTGATGGGAAATATCAGTGTTAGCACACTGATAACCTCTAGGAAAAGGGTCAACAGCTTCTGGTAGGAGGAGCTTCTGGAGAAGCACACTGATAAGCATCGGGACTCCCACCCAAGCTCATTAATACCAACCATCTCCACCTGGACTGGTCGACCCTACTCCCTACTCCCGACTCAACTCACCTTCAAGGACCAACTCCACCCAAGCCGCAATACAACACCTTCTCAGCTTCAACCCACTCGGAGACCAGTGAGTCCATCTCACTACTGATTGATTTCCTTTCCTTTTCTTTCTTTTCAAATTCATTTATTACTCGCACTGAAGTTTTCTTTTCTCATTCTTTCAAACAGTTCAAAATAAAATCAAAAAAAAATATTATATTCAAAGTATAGTATACAGCATCAGTTACCAATTATCATAGTATAGATTTCTCATCTTATGAGCAGTTCCGGTTCCGAAATTCTAACAGATTCGGACGGACGACCAATACATAGATTAGCTGAAGGTAGATACTCAGTCAAACGACGAACTAGAGTCCGCCCTTCCACCACTCCAGACAAAAAGAAGCTTAGAGTCAAAACTGAATTCACAACTCCTCCTCAACCACCAAATACAATAGAAAATTCGGATTCCTCCGAATCCAGACATAGTCGCTCGCAATCCCTACCTTCGCGACTAACATCTGCTTCTTCATCCGTAGACACTCTTTCTCTTACATTATCCTCTTATTCATCACTCAATACGTTGCGTACTCCTACTCCACAACCATCGAACGAGCCTATTGCGGATCTTCCATTGGAAAACCCAGTAGCCAATAACTCGCAAAACCAGCACGTCCAAGCACCAACTGAAAGTCTTGGCGATTTCATTCAGCACATTTTTCCGCCACCTCATCAGAACATCATCGTACCCGTTCACATTCCAATGGAAGCTAATCCCGTAGCCGAAAATAATTTAGAATCTGCGTTCGAACGGCTATGCCTATCCTCGTATGCTAGTAAACTCCCTATCTTTTCAGGAGACAGGATGGGGGAAAATTTCATGGAATTTCTAAATAAATTCTACGAAATAGGTCACATAATGGGGCTGACCGAACCAAAAATGGCCCGTCTCCTTCCAGCCCACCTCAAAGGAGTCGCCAAGGCAGTATACGACAATCTATCGGATAACGAAAAAGCAGACTGGCGAGCAGCAATAACCAAACTACAAGAACACTTTTCCACTGATCAATTCCTAGATATGGCTCGCGAAAGAATCATGAACATGAGGATGGAACTAGGCGAAGCACCTGTGGTTTTTTCCAATAGAATAAGGAAAGAGATTTTGGACGCATATCCCCACGATAATCTCACGGAGCAACGCAAATTCCTCCAGCATATGGTATTCACAAATGGGTTGCCCTATAAAATTAAGGAAAAGCTTAAACTCCTTGGTCCTCTTTCCAGCAACTACGAAACCCTATTGCGAGACGCGGGACGCATGTATGATATAAGCAAAGCGAATCCTGTTCCAGAAGAAGATATGCTTATAGCAAAAATTGATAGAGCAATTGATACAATAGTTTCCAATAGATCTCCTGCGCCTTCTACATCGTATTTCCGTAACCCGAACCGTAACTATTATCTTAATGCTCGACCCAATCAATATAACAATTTCAACAATCCTCGTAACCAATTTAATCCGCGTTTTCGAAGCCCTTCGCGTAATAATGTAAGGTTTGCTCCTAATACACAGTATAGGAATGAAAGAGCGCGAACACCTGTTTTCCAAAATCGTTCACCTAACCAAACCTACAACAGGGATCAAGAACGTCCATATAGACGCCAAAATCCCCAATATCGTCGCCAAACCTCCCCATTTCGCCGCCCAAACTCGCCATCTCGTAGACAAAATTTCCAAAACCGTCGCCCACGTTCTCCATTCCGTCAACGTTCAAACTCTTCATCTCATTTTCCAATCAATTCTATAACTGCAAGCAGTCCTAGAACTATATTAAAACCTACAACTTCACTATTTATAGTGGCTATTGTAAGTATACTGATAGCTCCTACCTCTGCTTTTTCACTTAAATATCAGCTCTGTTCAGCAGGTAAATCAGGCTGGCCAATTGCCTATCCTGATCCTGTAACATGCACAAGTTCTCCTAATGCTTCACAAGTTTTGATTACTGGAGCTGACCTTTATGTTGAGCGAACAGAACCATTACTTTTGCAGGCATATCATTGTTTCAATAAAACTAGGAAAATTTGCACGTCATCATATTTACATGTTTCATTCTCAGTCAATAGCGATGAGGAATTCATGACTCCTATAGATCCTACTCTCTGCGAGTCTTTAACGCAAACCAAAAAGTATCTTGAATTTCCCTTGGAAAAGCTTTCTGCAAATGTATATGGATCGGATAATCAAATCCAGTATTCGTATCCATGGTTTTTTGGAGAAAAGTGTACCGTCACTACAACGTATATTTTGAAAAAGGAACAATTGCAACTTTTGATGGTAATCATTTAATAGGCCAATTTGGAAACATGGCACATTGCAACATTGAGAAAAATCAATGTAGCCTTTCACATGGCACCGTTATTTGGGCACAACCTCCATCAACATCAATATGTCGGTACGTAAAAGCTACCGAAGGAGTCGCATATGTGACTCCTACCCATATAGTATTAAATAATATTCAATCAGCATTTACGTATAAAAACGTAACATTTTCGCATGCACAACTTAACGTTTGGTGTCTAAATAAATCCGCGATACCGATGGATAATGGCGTTTTCATTATTCTGCCAGAATTGAAGGACTACAATCCTCGTACCATATTTTCGGAACATCCAAAAGTAGTCGATAATATCAATCAGAAACATTTCTTCAACTCAAAACTTTTGCAACTGGTGACTACAGTCACTCAGTCAGCTCAAAATCAGAGCTCTTCAGCAAATCTTCAAGAAACCCCAGAGCAAAACACCCTACTCAATGAAGGTGAATTTATACTTAATACGGACAGAACGTCCCAATTAGAACCACAATTTAATTTACCTCTTCTTCATAAATTCATCCATGTCATACAAAAAAGATCTTCCAATAGCGAAAAAATTCGCCTGGAAGTACCACTATCACGTAGTAAAAGGCTAGCTGCAATAACGTCAGGTAACTATAAATCGCTCAGCACAATATTAGCCAAGATCAAAGATTCAAGTGTTAGCGTTCACGAAGCTTATATTAATACTATTCCGTCCAATACTTCAAGACGAATAGCTCACCATCTTGCAATGAATTCAGAACCCGATTTTACGGTAATGAATAATGATTGGACGCTCGACCATGAGCAACGTCAAGACAACCGTCATGCCGAACTCAATACAAAAATGCAGTTCCTCAAAATCAAAATGGATGAAATAATAAGACAAGATTTTAACTATTTATTAGATAAAATTTGCTCTCTTATGAATTTCAAAGTTCATTCAATTAAAAGCATTGCCCGAATTAATCCAACTGCTGCGGCCCGCATTCTTTTGAATCGAGAAGATGTACATGCTTTATCGGCAGGAGATGTTTAATGGTCTCCAAATGCAAAGAAATCGTTGTTGATGAAATTATTTTTGATCACAACGTAAAAGGAACATGTTATATCTTTACACCAGTCAGATCTGGGAAAATATTTTACTTCATCCAACCAGGTACAAGTGATCTTGTTAAGTTCAGTCCGCAAGCGGACTGTGGACATTTACCATTTGGCATTTACAATGATGGGAACAATCACTACAAATCTCCATCGGGTTACGCACAGGTGACAAATATTCATCTCAACTTACCTAACAATTTAGCTCAGGAAAACTTTATTTTCAATTCTCCACCAATATTTCATTCGGACCTTGCGAGAATAACGACTAATTTATATCTTATCCAAAATCGCCTCAACTCTATAAATAATTTATACGCTCCACGATCAAAATCAACTAACGAAGCTGAAGTAATTCCAAATCAACTAGGGCACGAACTGGCGGACACAGCGGCATTTTTAGAATCCAATGCAGGCGACTTTCTTCAGTCACAAAAGGAAAAAGTCCTCGAATCTTTCGGCTTGCACCGTCTCGTCAAAGCAATCGTTCTCGTTTCCATTTGCCTCATCTTTGTGAGCGCAATCACGATTCTGTATTGTCAAACATCTTTGGTACGGATACCTTTGAACTTTCTCTTCAAAGGCATAGCCACTGTATTCTCGCTTCTTCTCGCATCACTCTGCAACAAAAGTTCTTCTCAAGGCACAACCACGAAGCAACAACGAAGAAGTCAGGATTACAGCATAATCAGCAGCGAGCCAGAACGTGAATCTATCCCGCTAGCTAATTTAAGGCGCTCCCCAGTGAATTTGCCATCATCATCTATTGCAACTGTTCATCAACCCTCAGCTCCATCAGCTTCCAAAATCAAGTTACCATTAGCACAGCCTACCAAACCCTACTCGAGTAAACCACAGCCAGTTCTCAACTTTTTTCCAGGTGTCTCTTCCATTCATCTTGGAAAAACTAACCAAATGATCTATGTTCCAGCAAAACTTAACAATTCATCGATTGTAGCTCTTCTAGACACAGGATCCGCCCTCACAATCGTCTCTGATGCTGTAGCTCGGAAACTCAACGCACAGCTTTCCCACTCTACAATTATAAAAGGCATCACAGCGAACGGATCTAGCATGAACCTTCTTGGCCAATTTACTCCATATCTTACTATTGGGAAGAAAAGTATGCAGATTACCTGCTATGTCGCTTCGGAAACTAATTGTTCTTCACCATTCATCCTTGGCAACGACGTCATTCAACAATTTGCAACAACAATGTCCGTAAATTACCGATCTAACACAGTTTCGTTCGACAATGTTACTATTCCATTCACAACTATCAATCACACCCATTTCAACTTCCCACCCCTTCAAGTCTACTTGGTGGATACAACCATCCTACAACCACTTTCTGACAACATGGTTATAGGCACCACCAAAACCTCATTTCCACATAATTGGGAGCTATTTTCTTCAGACTATCCACTACATGATCTACCAAAGGGAGTTCAAGTGGGAAAAACCCTTTCTTGTCCAGAAGTGGATGGAAATGTCTACTTACGTATATTCAATTCGAACCATGCCAGTATTACACTGCCCAAAAATAAAGCAGTGGCAATAGCAGCTTTTGTGGGAGTAAAAATGCCATGGAAACCAGTATTCTCAGTATACAGTAATGAGGGCTCTCACAACCAAGTTTTGCAAGACAAAGCATTCTCGGAATATATCCCCCCAGAAGCTGACTTTGCCAAAGCACTGCCGCACTTTCCCAATAACGACAATTCTATAGATCTTCAAAATCGCGCCCAAATTAATCATAGTATTTTAAATAACACACAACTTCAAATGTTTTACAAATTGTTGAAAAAATATCAAGATTGTTTCGTAGGAAATGATGGTAATCTCGGTCGTTACAACGGTCCAATCACTCATAGCATTGACTTTATTCCACATTCAAAAGTTCCAAAACAGCGACCGTACCGAGTACCATTGGAAAAACGCAATGAAATAGAACGTCAAATCAAAGAAATGCTAAGAACCCGTTTAATAGAACCAAGCACCAGTAAATTTGCATCCCCAATAGTTCTAGTTAGGAAAGGAGCCAATAAAGACCAATGGAGATTCACTGTTGACTATCGTCAAATCAATGCGATAACCAGAACCGAAACCTATTGTATTCCCCATATGCAAGACATACTAGATCTTGTTGGTGGGAAGGAAATCTACTCGGTTCTCGATTTCAAAAGTGGTTTTTTTCAAATCCCTTTAACGGAAAAACATAAAGAACGCACAGCGTTCTCTTCTTTTTTGGGATTATACCAATTCACGGTTATGGCACAAGGGCTAAAAGGGGCCCCAGCTACATTTCAGAGGAGTAGCGAATAGCCTAATCCGTGAACTAAAATCATGTTGTTTTGCTTACATTGATGATATAATAATTGCAAGCCAATCGGTGAACCAACACCTAATTGATCTAGAAGAAGTTTTCCAACGTATAAAACAATTCGGAATGAAGTTAACAGCAGAAAAATGCTCCTTCTTCCAAACAGAAGTGCAATATTTAGGTGTTCTTGTCAGTAAAAATGGCACTCGCCCAAACCCAAATAAGGTAGCGAGTATTGCCGAGATTAAACGTCCAAAAGATGTAAAAGGTATTAAATCATTTTTAGGTGCAGCGTCTTACTTTCGCCGTTACATTCCGCGTTTTTCTATTGTCGCGACACCGCTCAATGCACTACTAGTCCAAAACACGCCATTCTTGTGGACGAACTCCCAAGAAGAGGCATTTGTCGCTTTAAAACAAGCACTCATAGAAGCGCCTCTTCTGGTTTCCCCGACCCTTGGGAAGCCATACATAGTACACACGGACGCATCCACGATAGGCATAGGTGGTTGTTTGCTGCAATTCAATGCTAACACCCAAGGCGAACACCCCATTGCCTACTGCAGTCGCTCGTTAACTAAGCACGAAAAGAACTATGCTGTCATTGAGCTTGAAGCTCTTGCAATAGTATACGCGTTGAATCATTTTTACCCATATGTGGCGAACGCGCGAATAAGTTTGATCACAGATCATGCACCCCTTAAGTCGCTAATGCATAGAACAGATCTGGTAGGTCGATTGGCCAAATATCAAATTGCCATACAGGCTTACGATATTACAATCGAATATCGAGCAGGAAAGCATAACACATTTTGTGACTTTCTGAGCCGATACCCACTGCCGCAGACTAATTCTATAACAGCGCGATCTTTTCCTTCTCTTGAGGAGATCCAGGAAAGTCAGAGAAACTCTGAGTATGGTCCACTTATTGAGTTCCTCACTGATGAACTTCAGGAGCCTCCTCAACAATTCAAAAATAAGCTCCAAAACTTCTCTTTTCATAATAACTCTTTGTATTATAAGATACACAACAAAGAAAAACTATTTATTCCAGATGGAGACATGCAAACGAATATAATTGCTATATTCCATGAAAATCCACTCTTAGGATCACATTTAGGAATAAATAAAACTTACGACACAATAAGAGAGAAGTACTTCTGGCACAATATTTATCAAGATGTGGCAACATACGTCACAACGTGCCCAACGTGTCAGAAGGTAAAAACGCCTTCAAATCGTATTATTAGAGAGGAAATGGGTAGTTTCCCCACTCCTAGTAGACCATTTGAACGCGTCCACACTGATATAATAGGACCCTTGCCACAGTGTGAAGATGGGAGTAAATTTATTTCAATTACTGTCTGTGCCTTTAGTAAATTTGTGATATGTACTACCCTGGCGGACCAAACCACTGATCAGTGATCAGAGCACTGATCAATGACGTAATTTCGAAGCACGGCATTCCGAACGAAATCGTTTCGGACCGTGGCTCCAATTACACTAGTGAGGTATTTAGCAAAATTAACAAAGCACTAGGCATCACGAATAAATTCACTACTGCCTATAACCATAAAGCCAATGGACAAGTGGAAAGACTAGTAAAGGTCATAACTGATTCTCTGACAGCTTATTGCTCAGAAGCCAGGCACCGATGGTCTGACTTTGTCCAACCCATTGTTTTCGCGTACAACTGTAGTAAACACGCGACAACGGGTTATAGTCCATTTTTCATTGTACATGGACGGTGTCCCATTACATGGAGCGACATACTCCATGAGATTCCTCGGCGGGTCTTATTCACATCAGATAATTTCGTCGATCAGCTCACAGGCGGCCTGAAGAACACAATAATGGAAGTCGGAAACGAGATTGCAAGCAAGACAGCACAGTACAAAAGCAGGATACGATCTCCTCACAAGGTATTTCCTACGGACATTTCCATTGGAGACTTAGTTCTTTTGCATGACGACACCGTTCGTCCTAAGCTCACCAATCAATGGAAAGGCCCTTTCACGGTTGAAGAAGTCAACCTTCCTAACATTGCAATATCCAACCTTGTAGGTCGCCCTACGCGACAAATTGTGCATGTTAATCGCTTAAAATTGTTTTCTCCTCGTTCACTGCCGGCTAATATTTCCACCCCAACCCAATCACAATCACGTTTACAAAACCCGACGGAAACATTAGCTGGCAATGAACAACCCATAACACGACGATCTCGTCGGCTTCAGGAAAAACAATCAATTTCAGCAGACGACTACATCTGAGTAAAGAGGCACTATTGTTTCTCTAACAAATAGTCCTCTTAGGTCTGTTTAATTCACCTTCCATTATAGCCGCATGATCGCGAAAAGAATATATTTGTACATTCTTTGAATTGGCGGTTCAAAGAACCCTAAGGCAGCCACTTTCTCAAAATTTAAAAGTTTACTAAGAAAAACAAACGCCCTTACGCTAGTCGCAACATTGCTGTGTAGAAAGACTAGTGTTCGTACCGATTTTGAGCTATGTTCTACATGTTCATATTGCACAGGTCAACAATCATACGATTGTATCAAGACCCTCAGTTGTACTAAAGGACATTTCTCTTAATAATGTACTATCATATTAATCTATACAATGTTGACAAAGACTGCCTAAGATTATATATGTAAATACTAACGAATTATAGAACAGTAAATTTCACTACCGTTGCCTTTTAATGAGAAAGAAAGAAATTAGTGACTAATTTTGACGTATGTAGCAATAACTTGTAGAATAGAGTCATATTCTGTTATTGTATTTACTCATCCGTCATTTTCATCACCATACCAATTCCAGTCATAATCCCTTTACAACGAGGAGCCGCTTCAATCGGTTTCCTCAAAATCCTTGTTGTAAACCTATTTAGCTCGCGGACGAGCTACCCAATAGAGGAGGGAGTGAGAGAGCCTCCGCCGTTTTTCTTTTTCTTCAATAAGTGAAGCTGTGGTCATTTCCAATCAATACAGTCTTGAGTACCGTCGTTTCAATCAGTGAAGGCCAAATTAGCCTTATTTGGTCTGACTCATAATCGTCATGGAACAATGGTGCTAGGAACGCGTATCTACAGTCTAATGGTCAGCTGTCGTCGTAGCTGAAGGATTCCGTCCGTCCAGTGGTGTTGAATGGCAACGCTGTTGTGAGGGGAGACGTAGTTGTTTTTCAGGCAGCTCTCTCTCCTCACCTGCATCCGTATACTATGTCATCATGGTCACTCACTACACGTCTATCTTGTGAGACACTGGAATGGAATCAGAGCTCGAGGACGAGCTCTCTCTATGGAATGGAGATGTCACGTTATGGCCACCCCTGGTGGACACGCCTAGGATGGAGGCGTCGCCGAAGAGTGGCGAGCTGATAACGGCAGTTGGGAGCAGTCGTCTGGCTCCACTCACTCCTTCCCTTCACCCTTTCCCCCTTTCTCATGTCTCATATATTGAAGTATAAATATTAAATTAAATAAGTATTCTGTTATGTATAGTAATAAACACCGCTACACCTTCGGACTAAGGGCCGGCCAACCCTTACAATCCGATAAGTACAGCGTCACAATAATGTTGATCAGAAAGTGTAACGCGATCACGAGTTGGGGATCAAAGCGCTCCGGCAACTTCATGCCCCCCACACGATATTGCCTTAAAGGAATCTTCACGGAAAAATCATGATTCTATTTCAGCCATAAATCACTGGCTTGAGACTCATTATCCACGATAAGAATGAAAAAAAGAACAGAAAAATTGCTTTTGTTTTGGTAAAAAATTCGAAAAATCGAAAGGCTGCTACGCGTTCAAAGTGCCCACGGACATCTTTCACAAATGCTGGCGACGGGGATGCTTCCACTTGGTTCTTGGAGTGCCTTCACTAGAATCTGGCCTTCTGCTTATTGCATTCACATCTCACACTTCTACTCCATCCTATTCTATCGATCGATTTGTCTCTACTCTCCGAAATCGCGCGCTTTAACCCGATTCTTTCATTGCGTCGCCTGATACGTAGCCGGCCAAAGGCCAACTTCTTTCCATGCCTCGCCTTTGGCTCCGCCCGAATTACCTTCGATTGTCCATAGAGTGTAGTTTTTGTACGTTTGTTTCTCTTCGGAAACCGAATCTTCATGCGTGAAATGTGCTGTTTCCAGTGATCACAACTGACACATTCATGTCAAGAAAGAATGCAAGAATTTCCGCGAAAGATCCTCTAACTATCAAAACTATCATGTTAAACGATGGTCCTGGGTAGATTATACTACACTGCGACGCATAATCTTAGTTCCACCTACAAATTTCCCAAAAACTAGAATTTGGAGATGTTTTTGAAAAGGGCTCTACAGACAAATTGTGACACATGCAAATGCGAATCTGAATATTATCACGGAAATCCAGTTTGAGAAAGCAAAATTTTTTATCCTCATTTTTTCGAAAATACCCGACTTGCCTATGACGCAAAATCATAGTTCCACCACATGTTCTCTGCTGCATTTTGCTTTTACCCAATCAAATTTTGAAATTATTACCCACTCAAGTCCCTTAGCTTATAGCAAAGGCAAAACCGCTGTCGAACTTCCGTAAAAGGAAAACCCTAGCAAAAGAGACGCAGCAGTTGTTGAAGTGTCAGCTCACGCTAGAATTTGTCGGGGTGGCTTCATAACGAACAAGTTTCTCAAGGATGCTACAGGATATGATTCTGGGAAGAACCCTGATTACTATCCGACCGAGATAAGCGCCGTATCGTGAGAAAATAATACGACTTTATCCAGACGGGTACGGAAATCAAAACTTCTTCAAAAGTTAGTGTCTCAATGGAAGCAGTTTCACGTGTTTTACAA